CTGCGACATCCAGCTGGCACCGCTGGAGTCACCGCAGGGACTGGGGAGCCTGCCCATGTCCCTGCTAATAGCCGGGGAGAGTCCCAGAATTAAGGGACCTTCAATGTATAGAAGTTCTTCCTCGTGTGGAGGTGAAACATCTTGTGTTCTAGTTCATGGCCATTGCTCCTCATCATGTTGCTGGGCACCATGAAAAGACTGGCACCATCCCCTTGACACCTGGCTTTGAGATAGTTATATGGATTCATGAGAGCCCCTTTCTCTTGTCTAGAATTAATCAGCCCCTCTTCCCGTTAGAGATGTTCAGACCCAAAATCATCTTTGTGGCCCTTCACTGAGCCCTCTCCACCAGCTCCATGTCTTTCTCATACTGAGGAGCCCAGAACTGGACACAGCATCCTAGATGTGGCTTCACAAATAGAGGGGTAGGATTGTGTGTGCTAAGGGTGCAGCCACGCTCAGGGAGAGGGAAATTCCCGCTCAGAGAGAGGGAAATTCTTCAGCAAAACACCCTGCACACCATGAGTGCAAATATAGAAACAGCACTACAGGCCAGCCCTGGGCAATGCAAAGTCACTGTTCAAGCATGACCATGGCACAGCATCACCCAAGATAGAACAGCACCAAAGAAAAAAAAATCCTACAAATTCAGCTAAGGCATATATAATTTTTAAAATTTATTCTGGGGCAAAACTTTCTCTGGGTGAATGTTCAGCTGCCTTATGGCTCTCCAACATTTAAGGAAAATGTAAAATCCTGTATTTGCTATTTACTAGCTCCCTGCTGCCATGGGACTGTCGAGCAGTCCCAGCAGATGGTGCTGTGATCCTTCTCCTGCTCAGACAATTCCTCCTTTCTGAGCATCGAACCTCCTGCAGCCCGGTGGACTAGGGCCAGACACACTCAGCTCCAGGGAAGCTGCAGCTGTGGGTACACCCAGAGCTCCACTGGGTTTGGGTTTTCCCTGTCCTCGGCAGCCCCATCTGCCTGACATCCCAATCTGCCTGTGGAGGTCTTTGTAGTACCTTCTTCAGGTTCCTAGGAAGAGATGGGTCTGCACCCGAGTTTATTGCTTCACACAAAGGTGCATCCCTGGCTGAAGGATGTAAATCCTGTCAGCAAGCTCTTTCCTCCAGCTGCAACCATGCAGATTGTCAGGGTAAGTGTCTGGATTTTAGCAAAGTTAAGGTGCTGAGATTCATAGGAAGGATCGTTCAACCTGGCAAGCATGAGGCTTCAGTGCACTGCAGAAATTCACTGATTGTGCAGCCCCTGCCCAGATCAGATCCAATGCAATGCCTACAGATGGATGGATTTGAAACTTTTCCCTCAATTAGCTTTGTCCAACAGTGAGGTCAGCTACCTAAAAATGACATCAGCACCCCCACACAGCAACAGCCTATTCACAGTCTGAGCTTCTCTGCACACAAGTAGAGGACAGATAAATCAAGGCTCAGCAGGGCTCAGAAAGGGAACTATGCACTGGGGTTGTTTATGGTTTCTGTTTCCCTGCTATTTCACCCGTGACAGCAACAGGTTAATGTTTCCTTGTGCCCTCTCAAAGGTATTGTAAACCCCAGCCAGTTCACATTTGTTAAATGCTTGAGATTTGCAGTTAAAAGACCAAAGTAGATTTAAACATACACATATAACTACACACCACATCACTGAAATAAACTCCAGTGAATAGTCACAGATAACACCAACTGCTCACCAGTTCACTGCCTCCCTGTAGCCCATTTTGCCTTAACTCATGCTGCCTCATTAATAGATTTCATAATCTGAATTTCAACTTGTAGCTGTTTATAGCACTCATCCCTATGGGTTCTGTGTGTCCCTACAGGCAGCACAGTTATAAACTCCCAGGGAGACATTAATCATGGCTATACTGGTGAGGTTATGTCCTCTGGGCAATAAGGCTACTAGGACAAAAATAAAGTTCCTTTTGTGCCTGGAATGTAAAGATGAACATGCTGGCAGGTACCTCAGTATAGAATAATATAAAGGTGAAGAATTTGTGATAAATGTTTCTTCAACACCTTGTCTATGGGGCATTTTCAACTCAGAATTAAGATGAGTCTATGGAACAGCTCTAAAGTCTTTGGTGCAAGAAAAGCCAGTGTATTTTCTGGTTGTTCCTCTTGACAAAGCAAGAGCCAGCAGAGTTTTTGGGCTATGAAGATGAATGGTTTCACATAATACTAATACACTAACTTTGGACCTAGTCCACTGTGATTATTAATAAGGTAATGCATAACATATGTCAAAGCAAAGGCTGTCAAATCTGCCTGACAACTGCTCCCATCTCAATCATATGGACTGGCAATGGGGGCAGGTTTTTTCCATAATGTAAAGCAATTCCTACCAAGTGCAGATTGCACCTCACAGAAGGCTCAGTTTCAAGCAGATGCCAGACTCTCACTGTTCATCTGGAGAGAGACACAGTACGTGAACAGAGTGAAGAACTCGTGATTCAAAAGAAACTCTTCCATTTCTCAGCAGCAGAGGCAGTGCAGAACTGCAGAGTGCTCACCTGTGGGTACCGGGGGCTCCAGCAGGGCTGGAGTTTCACAGTCCTGAATCTCACTGAAACTCAGAAAGTCCTGAGATTCACAGTGGCAGTAGCACAGGCAGGTTTGTGCAAGTAATACCCCTTTCCATTCCAGGAGGTGATGGACACAGTATCAGGAGGCTGAGGGACATTCCAGAGCAAGTCCACAGGGGAAGGGACTGCTGCCACTGTGTGTGTGTCAGAATGGAGCCCATGTGCTGTGCAAGGACCAGGCTGAGCATGAGACAGGACAGCTAAGAATTACTTTTGTACACACATTAATTTATATATTATCAGGAATAAGTGATTGTTTTGTTGTTGAGGAATTCTTTCCCCATTTAATTTTTAGGGAAAAAAAATCCCATTCTTTTCCCATCATGAACAGTTACTGCAAACATTTCTCCAAATGTGTCAGTGAAAAGACTGTTCCTGGTAGACCTGTCACAAACAGATTTGTCCCATTAATAAGTTAGAGAGGAAAAAAAGAGCTCACATGGAACAGATATTTGCAAGGCTTTTATCATTTGGCCAGAGAGCAAAACAGGCCATCAAGGAATCAACATCAAATATATCTGCAGGAGCACCACTGCTCTTGGAATAGCACTAAAGCTTCAGGGCTTGCTCCAGGATGTTCTCATCCAGCACCTGGTGAGGGAGGGTCACCCTCAGGGAGCTGTTTTCCGTCATGGCCTGGCAGATGGTTTCATAAGCAAAGGCATTGCCCGACCAGCAGCGCCTGGCGACCTGTCAGACAGCAGAACGGAGGGTGC